GGCTTGGAGCAGTGGCCTAGCAGCCAAAGTCCTCGCCTTGCATGCACAGGGATGCCATATGGACATCGGTTTGTATCCCAGCAGCCCCACTTCCCAACCAGCTCCCGCTTGCAGCCTGGGAAAGCAGTCAAGGATGGCCCAAAGCCTTGGGACCCTGCATTCGCGCAGAAGACCCAGATGAAGCTTCAGGCTCCTCGCTTCAGATCGGCACAGCTCCAATCACCTGGGGAGTCAATCAATGGATGGAAGATCTTCTTCTCTGTCTCTCTTCTTTTCTGTATATCTGACTTTGCAATGAAAATAAATAAATCTTTAAAAAAAAAAGAAGCTGAGATTTCAAGCAGCAGCATCAGTGTCACTGGTGATGGCTTAATCCAGGCTTCCTTCGGAATTTCCATATAGTTATATTGTTATTTAAATCCTTATGTAGTTCATCTGAATTCTTACAGTAAGTGATAAAATAAACTAAATATCTATTAAATATTCCAAGTTCATAGAATCATATATCTCTCACCACTGAAGCTCATCTTTATCATTACCACAGGCCAAACTATGAATTACCCTTTGATAAAAGGTTTAAATTTTCATTTTAATATTGACTGAATAGATACTCTCTCCACTATTAATGCTGAATCATTCAATGAATTTAAAGTCATCTGGTCACATTCTCTGTACAATCTTATTTCTAATCCACTCTGTATCATAACAGCTAGTGTCAATGTATAGTATTTGTTGAAATTAGGTTAAATTCGTGTTTCCACATTTATTTTCTAACAATAATATACACTCTCGAGATCAAGACTAGATTGATTTCCATTTTTACTTAAAAATGACATCACTTAATGGTGTGAAGTGTTAGTACAATTCTCACTGAACTTCACACAAACTGCTGGTAAACCAAGTATTCATTAGCCTTTCTTGATTGTATCTGCATCTGACTGCTTTCAATACAGGGACTCAGACAAGTCTACAGCTGCTCTCTTTCAGATTACGTTTCTAGGTTTTTTCTTTATTCATTCGGGATTCTAGTTCCGAGAATGCAAATGTCACAGTTCATCCTGTTTCATAACCAAATTTAGTAAAAGCTCCAAGGAATACACTCATCAGTGTGACACCATCTGATGCAAAGTAGAAAAAGTGAGAAAAATATTTATTAAACTAAAGTAAAATCATTTCATCAGAGAAAATTTTCAAAATTCTCAGCTGTCTCTTGTACTTTCTCTCCTCACTTGACTCCCGCCGCAGTGAGTTTCTGGACTCTGAACTAAGGCATGCTTCCACCTGCACGCTACTGACCTCATGTTTCCTCTACGTTTTTTCTTCAGACTTATTCGCATGTCATGTACCCTCACTTTCGCTCTATTGAAAACCATCTTTAACATTTTACTAATAACATCTGTCTAACCACACTGCAACTTTCGTTAGAGCAGGAATTTTTAACTGTTTTGCCTAAGGAGTCAATAAGAGGACCTTAGAAATATCAAGGTCTCAAAAAAGAAAAAAAACCTGTTATCTGAATAAAATTATTTATAAGCACAGGATCTGCTATAATGCTTAAAATATCAGTTTTCCCCTTTTTCTAGCTCAGCTTCCAATTATTTTCTCCATGCACTAGTTTCCTTCTCAATAAAATAAACTACTTATAGGATACTTCTGAACATTAATTTATATAATGCAGTTTGAATAGCATCTTTGAAAATAGTTACAAAATAAATATTACTTCTAAGCTTTTACTTTACATAAATTATAACCCTTTCTAACTTGTCAATGGCCTTGTGTCTCCCTGGCTTTCTAACCATGAGAGTTCGACAGTAAGAAGTGGCCCCTTTTCTCCAACTCCCCTCCCCTGCCGTGCACACAAAGGACCTTCCTCTATACCTCTACCTTCCCCATCCTAAGCAGAGGCCCGCACGAGCAGGGACCCTTCTCAACAATGGAAACAAAATTAAAAAATAAATTAAGAAACAATAAAATAATCAAAAAACCTTGCATACTGCTAAGACACAAACATCTCTTCTTGTCATAATTCCCGCAGAATATGGCACATGCCCCACTGACTAGGTGTTCAAAGCAATCTGGGGGTAATCGTAAGCATTCAGAGGATACGCAAGATCATATGCATGTATGATGCCACTTACTCTTAAAAAGGAACTTTGAAAGCAGATTCTGGTGTCCGAAGCAAGAGGGGAGAGATGGTGTTATTTTTTCATTACTCTCCCTAGAACTGAGGGAAAACTGTTCATTACTTTTGTGAAGTATGCCTATTACAATTATTTGAAACCTCTCTCTTGCAAAGCTTCTCTTTGAGTTCTAGTCTTACCAGTATTTATATCTTTGTTTTTTCCTTATTTTTCTTTTGCTTTTTGGCTTATGAAATTTCTTCAGTTTGCACGTGACAGTTTAGCCTCGGTTGTTTCACTATTTTCACATTTTTGCGTGTCAATTTATTTGAGTTCTCTCTCACACACACTGTAGCTAGGACCAGGTATACGCCATCCCATGCAATGTATCACTGCAGTTCCATTCCATTAAAACATTTCCAGGATTTTCTCTGTACTGCTACCCTATCCTCGCGCACATTATATTTTGAATTCTCCAAAAGACAAAGATCAGTCCTTAAGTACAAATTTACTGTGCACATAGTAACTCACAGACAGCCCTGCCCTGAGTACGGACATTTTATCATCCACAAATTCCTCCAAAGCTTGAGTGCAACAATAACAATGCAGCCATGGTACTTCTTTTAAGTGGGCACTGGAAAATATTAACATACTCTTTCTGGGTCCTACCTCACATTGTAAGTTGCTTTCACTACATAATGATGAAAATTGTCTTATAAAAATACTGCAGATGCACCTAGATACACGATGGGTTATGTCTTGATAAGGCCACAGTAACATATTAAATCAACACTACAATACATCTAAACTGCTACACAATCCAGCTTAACAAGACAGCATATTATAAAGAATCAGTTGTTTCCTCTGGTGAACACGTGAATGGCTGGAAATCGTGGCTCATGATGCATGTCCAATATTATGACGGAGCAGAATGCTTTAAATGGCTAGCTCAGATAAAGATCAAAATTCAAAACTACATTTTTATTAATACATACAACTATCACTCAATCATAATGTTAAACAATCGTAAAGCCAGTGGTGCCCCCACCACCTCCATGGGAGACCCAGCTGAAGTTCCAGGCTTTCTGCAATAGTGTCAACCAGCCCTGGACATTTGCAGTGTATCAGCACATGAAAGCTATTGTCTCTCTTTGTCATTGTGCAGAATGACAGAGAAAGACAGAAATAGGGAGGGAAGGAGGAAGAGAGAGAGGAAGAGAAAGATCTTCCATTATTTGGTTCACCCTACCAAATGGCCAGGCCAAAACTAGGAGCTAGCAGCTTGCTCGGGGTCTCCCAGTGAGCGCTGGGACCCAAGCATTTGGGCCCCGCTCTGCTGTGTTCCCAGGTGCATCAGCAGGGAGTTGGACTGGAAGCAAAGCAGCAGAGAATGGAAATGGCAACTAAAGGTGGGATATTTACTCACTATGCCACAGCATCAGACCCCGTAAAATAAGTCTTAACAAATAAATAAGCAAATTTCACATAGGAGAGAAAAGATGCAGTGAGGTTAGGACTGTGACTGGTAAAGAAGCCATCGCTCCTGTTGCTCAGGGTGAGAAGCGTGCTTGGCATCTGTCTGCGTGTGGTCTGCACAGTGGCCTTGTTTGTTCATGTGCTTACACAAGGTTATGAAGTGAGCCTATTTCTCCATTTCACTCCGTCATAGTCACACACAGGCCGTGTCTGAGCTTGATGGTCTAGGAAACGACACTCCGAAGCAGAACATCAAGGCTTGGCACTGAACACCAAGCCGCTCCAGACGCACACACCGCTCTCTCAAGATTGGGTGATACATTTAAGTGTAAGGCTTTAAATTTCTCCTGCTATTTTCCATTATGTCTTACAAGATGCCTGGCCAAATGCAAGCTTGCACATATTTTATGTGCACTCACATCAACTATGAATGTAATACATAGGAATCCTACAAAAACAAAAGCAATACCATTCAAAGCCACTTACATTTCATGCTGATAGAAACAAGAGTACTGCAGTCACAAAGTGAATACATAAGCGAATGTGCACTAACAACACCTCAATATTTCCCCTTTGGTAACTCATAAATCTGGATAAAATTTGTGGGTTAGACATAGTATCAATGTTACCTTCTTGAATTTTAAAATACATTTAGAGTATAAGAGATTTATCTGTGTTTTTAGGGTAAAATAAAATGAAGGTAGCACTTAGGATAAAAGAATATGTCAGTAATGTACACAATCAATGCAAAGAAAAAGCTAAACGGAAAAATATGTATAAATCAGAAAAAATGAAAAATAAATGTGACGAAATGTTAGTGTTCAGAGAGTCTGGGTGAAGAACAGGCTTATTTTCTAAGACTGAAAGTGGTTTCAATGCGAAAAACAAAGCAAAAAAAAACACAACAAAAAAATATGAACCTAGTTAGGTTTCCAAAAGAGGTGTGACAAATACCGGCATTCAAGACATGCAGAGCGTAAAAGCTAAGACCACACAATTAAGCAGAAGGGGTGAAGCTTGCTCAGGCCTACAGCCCACACGCCACAGAAATAAACCATTTCAAAGTACAGAGAATACCATGCTGTAATCGCTGATAGGTCATAACTCTTAGGGAAATCATGCCGTGAGTACTCTTAATTCTCTCAAAGTATTTCCTTTCTCCCACAGTCTAATATTACAGGTAAGTTAAAATTTATTTTAACACTGATCATTCACACATAAAAGTTAATTCTGCCATTATACATCAGAGCTATTCCAATCCTCATGAATGTCTTGGCATTCAAAAACAGGCTGTCTTGGTGACAGTACATTTAAGTAACAGCTCTAGCATTTTACCAAGGCTCCATTCACAGTAACTCTCATGTTCAAGGTACCACTAAAAGACATGTAAAATACATTATTTACCTGAGAACTGCCACTGAAGCCCGGAGGTTGGCTGCTGTATTCTGTGGAATCAATAATACTACTGCAAAATGAAGAGAAAAAAACATGTGATTTTAATATTTATATTATTATAGCATCAGAAAAGGTCAGTCTAATAATACTTCAGACATAAACCTACTATTTGTAATTTATAAGCAAGGAAAAAAAATTTATTGCCAATCATTTTACTAGACATGAAAACACAATCTAAACATACTATCAGTGACTATATGAACAATTTACCTGGTCCCGTACCATCTCAAACATACACACCAGGGAAGAAAGCCGTAAGGAATGACTGCCAGCACAGGCTGCCGCAGATCTGACTGAGCCTCACTTCTGCACAGGCACACAACTTGTTTGAAAATCAAAGGAAAAAGGATCTGCATGACTAGGACAAGAGTGCAAGCATGCAGTCAGCATGTTGTCTAGAGACTGCTGAGCCCCTGAGGATCGACACATGCGCATTCACTTCATTCACAATCGTTCAGGTTCCTAACTGGAGGACTAGCTAGCTCCAGATTTTCCTTTCCAGCTCAGCAAGTCGGGTAAAGCTACAGCGGAAGAGCACTAGTAAGCAGCGAACACAGGGATGTGTAACAGGCTTACTTTTAGGATACAAAGCCCATATGCTCTGCTCTGGACAAGCATAATCTGATTTCCGCACCAGTTCCTTTAATGTGGTTGTAACTTCCAAAGATTCCCCTAACCATCAAAAAACCTCCAGAAACCCAAACTTCTTTCCTTCCCTGTCTTACTACCCATTACTCCTACCTCCCTCACATTACCAATGAAATCAGCCTACAGAAACTGACCAACAGTTGAAAACTACTTGACAAATATATGTTGAATTTTTTTTCTTTTAAATATTCGTTTCTGTTATAAACAAATCCATATTAATAAAATACAAGTAAGTATGTGTATTAATTGAAATGATTCACTTTACAAAAAAAGATGTTTTTTGAAGTGTAATTTGAATTTTAAAAATCAGCAACTAAAACTTGATTCTGAGGACAGTGCATTGGCAAAGCTAGCCAGTGCTCCAACTGCAGTACTGAAATCCCACATACATACTGGTTCAAGTCCTGGCTGCTTCACTTCTAACCCAACTCCCAGCTGATGGCCTGGAAAGGCTGGAGAGGATGGCCCAAGTGCACCCACATAAGGAACCCTGAAGAATCTCCTGGCTCCTTGCTCCTGGCTTCAGATTGGCTCACCTCTGACCTTTGCAGCCACTTGGCGAATGAGCTAGCGAATACAAGATTCTCTCTGCTTTCCCTTTTCTGTTACTCTGTCTTAGAAACAAAATGATTAAATCTTTTTTGTTATTTATTCTTTTATTGGAAAGTCAGATATGCAGAGAGGAGGTGAGACAGAGAGGAAGATGTTCCGTTCAATGATTCACTCCCCAAGTGACCAGAACTGCTTTCCCAGGCCACAAGCAGGAAGCTGGATGGGAAGTGGAGCTGCCGGGATTAGAACTGGTACCCATATGGGATCCTGACATGTGCAAGGCGAGGACTTTAGCAACTTGGCTTCTGTATCAGGCCCTAAAATGATTAAATCTTTCAAGAAAAACACTGAATTTTATCTCTGAGCCTGATAACCTCTTCATCTAATAAACAATAAAGACATATTAGAGTTGTATGAGGTTTAAAACTAAACAATAAAGACATATTAGAGTTGTATGAGGTTTAAAACTAGAAAATATATGTAAAATGTTCAGTATGATGTCAAAATAACAGCAAATATTGAATCGATTTTACTATCAAAAAATTTAGTTAACAAAAAGGCTCGCCTTTTCAATGATATAGTAAACCATATGATACTGCCTCACAGTGTTTCTTTTTAAGACTTAAGTATTTAATTGAAAGGCAGAGCAACATAAACAGAGGGAGAAAGAGAAACAGATCTTCCAACCGTTATCTCATTCCTCATGTGGCCTGCAAGAGAAAGGCCTTGCCAAGAACACCTGAGGACAAAATGCCAGAGCTTTCTATTGAAGTTATATTAGCAATGAAGATGTCAGTGAGGGAAAACAGAGACTTACTCTTACACAATTTTATAGGTGTTACATCATTACTATCTTAAACAAGATTCGTTAGTAACTCCAGCAAGTGACCTCTTATTTTCCCTTCCAGTATCCCTGCACTGGTCAAAATTACAGAAACCTAAATGAGACTGTTGTCAGAGTACTACATAAAAACAAAAGGCAGATTACGTAGAAGTTTTAGGTATACATTTATAGATCTCTTCCACTGCCACAGGCAACATTAACAGCAACTCAAAAGTGAAACTTATGCATACCTCATTTGAAAAAAGAAATTTATGACCAACTACATATCTTTTATCAGTAAAGACACCTAAAAGACGTGAGGGTGTCAATCAGCAAAGAACTCATTCATTCCCTACTGATGTTTACACTTATTATTTTATCTTACCAAAAAAAACAGCTTTCTTCAAATTTAATTCTAGTGATGACCTAGATCATATTAAGGTATTACTAGCTGAAGCAGATACAGAAGCTTTAATTTAAACACCTTCCAATCAAGTTTAACGAAGCTGTGAAAACAGAGGTACTAGTAACTTGAAATTCTGAAATGCTTAGTTCATGGAAAAAGAATTCTGAGAATAGTTTTTAAGATAAGAAATCGCACCAATGAGAGGCATTTAAAATAAAGACATGAGCAATGACGTCACAGAGGATTTAGTCTGAGTGAAAGAATGCCCAGGCTGCACATCACACCAGATTTTCAGCTAACTCTGAGTAGCAGCAAATTGATACTGCACGATTAGCTTCATACTTGGTCATAAGCTACTTAGCTCCATTTGTTCGTCAAGCACATAAATAAGCTAAAACTTTTAAGTTTGACATCTATAATCTACTAATCAATACAGAATAAAGTATATGCTATTAACCTCTTTCAAAAATCAAAAATAAACCTGGTGTAACAATTTTTGAATGGATATACCACTTCTGGGAATACACACAAAGAAAATGAAATTTGCACATGAAAAGGGATCTGTAATCCTTTATTTACAGCAGCACAATATACAATAGCAAAGATATGGAAACAATCCAGGTGCCTGTCAAGAGGAGTGGATAAAAAAAAAACCTGTGGTGTATTATACTCTGTACAACACTACTCAGCTATTACAAAGATGGCTGAGGATCTACATGACGCGGGAGCAGGAGGGTACAGGCAGCCCATGCAATCAGATCAGCAGAGCAGAAACAGAAAACGGAGGCAGACGACAGAAAACCGTAACTTTCCCTGCTGTTCTTTTCAATTCAACACATTATTGCAACACAGAAAGAGGAATCTGTATAAATGATTAACCTGACATATAAAGGATGTCATTGAAAAAAAAATTGATTAAAAAATGTTTTACAGGGAACAGAACTTTATAGTGAGAAATAAAGACAAAAATAGTCTGAATGTTAAGCAATCAAGCTAGCAATTATGAAATAAAAAGGTTAATACACTTGAAACTATCAGTCTTTTTTGACAACAAAGGGGAAAAAAATCTTTTTGTCCCCATGTCATCTGTTAAGCAGTATAACTACCAGAATCTCATCCAGCAATGGTTTCACAATGAATTTTTTCAGTTCTCCAACATTTTCATGGGCTTCACAAAATTTTGTATGTATAATATCTATAATATTGTATCTATATTGTACAATACAACAGCTCTATTGCCTCTACCAATAAAATCCTAACGCAAAGCATTTCCTTGTCCTGCACTGCTGTGACACCCTCAACAACTTTTCTCTTTGCTTCCAACGGCACAAGGTTTTGAAAGACTAGACAGTAATTATCCTATCCTCCACACAGAAATGGAAATAAACATAAAATCTACCTCAGGGTTTGCTCTCTTTCTGTTGGCCAGCACGATCAGATTGTTCAGAGCTTCTTATAAAAGTTCACTTCTTCTATTTTCTCTCTCAAAAAGTCTAAATCATATCCAGATTAACGTCATGCAACAACCTTCTTCATTTATGTGTTGGCCTTCTGAGAGAAGCCCGTTCATCCATCCATACTCCAACAGAATCCTCTGGTAAATTCCTAGTATGCCTAAGACTTCTTCCTAAGGTATTACTTTTATGTTACATACTACTACTGTACTATACGTTGCCTAATATCCGTCTCCTTGAATCTGCACATATACCCTAAAATGTTCCAAAAAAGCAAGGATCCAACACTTAGGATACTGCCTGACTAATCAGAAGCATCCAATGCATATAGCAAGCAACCAAATGACTATATTGTCACGTGTCATAAAATCCAGCAATTAGCACCAGATGGGCACAAAAGACCCAAAGAAATAGTACTGTAAGCAAGGAGGGATGTGATAGTGGAAATGAACTGTCAATTTCTCGACAAAGGTTTTGGGAAAGGACAGCTCTGCATACCTGTATGTATTCACACAACAAATATCCTGGTGACAGATCTCATGCATATTAAAAGAGAAAGCCTTTCTTAAAGACAAAATAAATTCCAGAAACCTACTAATTCCAAATGTTTCAAATAAATTGAAATATGGAGGAGAATATCCTGAATTTTAAAGCGAAAATTATCTAGAAGATGAAAGGATTCTCCATAGGAAGGTACGTGAGAACATCAGACCTCTAAAGGATGCTCCTTATCCAGAACACCCACTGACTCCTATCTCCATCCATCATACCCAGCAAGACCCATGCTTACTTCCCTAAACTGTGGAAAAGTTACAACGGATAGTGTAACCTACTATAAAGGCACTGGTTTCTCTGATAACTCCCAGGTCTTCCTGCAGTATTTTTATGAAAAGTTTCCATTGAAAAATGGGTGAAACTTTTAAAGAACATTCAGTTATTTACATTACTTGCAGACAATACAAAATTATCAACTTAAAACTAGCCTGCTACATAAATTTCTGGAATTTTAGTCCCACATGATTGCCTTGACAATTCTTGTTCTAACAGAAAGGAAGCCTACAGTAAATTAACAACAGGGAATTATAACAAAATGTTGTGAAGTTCTAAACAAGTACATCTACTGCCATTCATTTTAAATCTGAGAAACATAAATTGAACAAGAAAATCCAAAGAGTTTAAAGTATAGTCCAAACTTTCTAAAATTTTTACAGTTTAATAATATTCTCCCTTATATTGCAATATCCTATTTTCAAATACAGATCCTTAATGTCATCGAACTGTAATTTACTATCATTATTTGAAGGAATTCACCTAACTTTTCATTGATGCCATTGTTACTGTTTTCTATAAGTATTCGCACATTGCATGGAACAGACTCCCACAGACTATCTTCACATGCACCTTATAACACAATCCGAACGAGCCCTGCCTGTGAGACGTGGTGTACCTGTGTGATGGAGAAGGAGCTTCAAACTGAGGCACAGTGCTGTCTTCACTGACAGGGGAGTACAGGCCGCTCATTTCCTGAAAGTACAATCACCTGTGTTATGGCAGACAACTGAAGTACAAGCTGTACAGGTACACAAGAGATGTAGTGTAATACTCCTTTCCAATGGTGAGCTGGCAGCAGATTTCCAAGACCTCCTTTCCACAGTATGAAGGCAAGGATATCTAGTAACCCAAGAGTCAAGCCTTTATTTCTATACTACATATTTGTAAAGAACTTTAAGTTCTTTAATAAATATTGTTCAACACCAATGAAATCACCAGACCAAAGACAAATATAAATGTTTAAAGAATATATACAGTATACTTCGTTAACATGAACCCGCTATTAATTAGGTGATAACCTACTGATAAATGCTAAGAGTAAGTTAACTGCATCATTAAGTTCAAAGTACAAAAAAAAAATCACTTCAGCCTCTTCTTCTAAAATATTGCCTGCAAAAATTAAAAAAGTAGCTCTTCTCTTGATTCAAATGTTATCTCTGTTTAATATTGACTTAATCTCTATTTGTTATCATTAAGCACAAGGAAAAGGCTTTCCAATCAACCGGTGTAACATAAATTAGGACTCTAAGTCACACTGACAGCCAGTTTTCTTTTTCATGTTACATTTTGATTTACAGAAAAAAAGAAAAATTTAAAAGGTGCAATCAAGTAACATTAATTTTTAATTCCTAACTCAGCTCAATCATGTAGTCAAAAGCTAGTAACACAAATGGAATAATAATCCCATCATCTTTTCATATATTCTTTTTAGCAAAATTAAATTGTAACACATAAGAATAACTAAAACAAAACTCAATTTAAACGGAGCTACATGTGGTCATTTCATGTCATAACAGCCTTTGAACATCCTAAGTATCAGCCCAGGATTTCTAGAGTAAGTATTATTTGACAATAACTTCCTCAAATTTTGGTAACATAGCCTCACTATTCTCACTTTCAATTAAGAGCATAGTGTATATATATATATATGTATACACACACATATGTGTGTGTGCATTTTTTACTTAACAGAAGACTGAAAGTGAAGAATGATTTTTACAGGAATAAATGAGAGTTCAGGGGTACTGATTTCAATAAATATTATGACACACTAATAAAAAAGAATGCAGGCAATCAAATGTTGTGAGAATAGACTATATTTGATCATCAGAAAGTGTCAATTTTTCCTCATAAAAATGACTCAAAGTAAATTGCTATTTTCTTCAAACTTGAAACCAACCCCATAAATTTAACACAACCTAAAGAGATTGTTCCATGAAAACTTAAAAACTGTTAGAGATGCAAGAAATCCTGATTTCTTACTTCTACTCTTTTAATATCCTCTTCCAACACATTCAGTTCTTTCTGGATCTGTTCCAATTGCTGTAGATGAGAGAAAGAGAGAAAAGTCTAAACCAGATGACACAGGCATCATCACACTCATAAAGCATCTTTACATTAAGTAAATTATTTCCAGAAAACTGGGCATTCATGGCAAATTAAGGGGACAAAAAAATCACCAGAAGAAAAACAAACAAACAAACAAAAAGAAGGGTAGATATTTCCAGGAAAATGATGTAAAACCAGAGGCTTAATAAGTAATGAAGCACAATGCTGTACTTCTTTAACACTTAGGGACTGATTTTACCTTAAAAATATGGGATTTGAACAACAGAAGGAACTGTCTGTATGCAATGATGCCGAAAGAACATTCTCATTAACCTCATTTTATTCTTAAAAATTGAATTAAGAAAAAAAAAACCCACCATACCAGTTACTAATTCAAACTAACAACTGAAAATTAGTCCGAGTTAAATCGCACCACCCAAAAGCAATTACAAATTGGTATCATAATATTTCCATCTTAAAGGAATTTCTAAGTCTATTTAAGGTAAGGTTTAACTTCCTGATTTTGCCTATTACATCACAGCCATTCCACACAATTAAAAAATAAGTATTTTATATGTTAGCTAATATTTAGCAGTATAATTTACCAATCCCCACTCCCTGAATCTTTAGGTTGTTCAAAAACTATGAGAAGTAATTCTGGAACACACGGGTCTTTCACATTTATTATATGTAAATTTCAGATTTTATTTTCAAAGCTATCTCAGATTTTATTAAGAGGTTATTAAAATAAAAATATTTAATCAGAGAAATCATCTTCATTACATAACACAAAATAGCTTCCCAGAAACACCAATTTAAATTACCCATTTCATAACCTTTATCAGAAAACTGATGCAACTTCAAATAAAAGATGGACAAAGCAATAAGAAGCATAAGCTAGCAAAAGAGCACAGTGGTATTGACAAAAAATCAGAGAAAAGGGATATGCTGAGAGGTTTATAAAGTGATCAGCATTGCCAATTACTTTGAAATCATTCACCTACTTCAATAAACTCTGCTCCACCTTAAAATCTGACAAAGAAACTCCTGTCTTAGCTGACACCTTACTCTCCCCTGGAAGACAAAGCAGCAAATTCTCCAATCAGCATTCGTCTCATCTGCTCCATTCCTACGCTGTTTCTGATAGTAAGTCTTCCACGTGGCATAAAAGCCAAACAATCCAATAACCTACTGTGGCCACCTACAGGCATGCCAAGTGCTTCCCCCAACATCCCTGAAGCCCTACTATTCTTGGTCATCTAAAACTGCCAAGTTCCTGGCCTCTAAGAACAAAGCACTCCCAGAATCCCTTGTTCAATATTTTCATGTAATTACTTTAAAATTTCCACTCCTGAAGCTACTTTAATAAATGTGTATGTATGGAAGACTTTTAAGGATTGCTTTAAAAAGATTTCTAAAAGCACAGAGTATAAACCTTTATAATATCAACATCAAGAGATAGCCAATATCACTTAGATTATATATAACACACAAAGAGAGGAAACTAATAAATTTGACTTCACTTCTGAATTGAAAAAAATTCTGATGTCATCCAAAATCACAAGCAACCGAACCTCTGTGTGTCCTCTGAAGATAACGTCCCACCCTTCCAGTGCTCCAATATGTTCAGTGGACTCTACACCTACTGTTATACAATGAGGCTATGACAGGTAAGATGAACTAAAGAAAAGCACCAATCCTCAAATAGGTCAATTTAGAATGAAACAACTAAGACAGTATGTGCTGCCCTGACATCATGGTATAACAAAGTGCGAAAAAAAAAGGTCAGGAAAGAAATATTTTAAAAACGTTTGGAAGAATCAAAATATTTTGAGGGGCCAGAACTGTAGCCCAGTGGATCAAAGGCTGCCTGCGAGGCCAGAATCCAAAATGTGTGTCTTCGCTGTTCTACTTCCAATCCAACTCCACGCTAATGGGCTGGGAAAAATAGCAGTGGAGAGCCCAAGAGTTTGGCCCCTGTAGTCAGGTGAGAAATTTAAAAAAGCAGCTCCTGACTCTGGCTTGGCCTAAGCCTGATCATGGAGACCCACTGGGGACTCAGGCAGCAAAGGGAAGATAATGGAACACCTCTCTTCTTTCTATCCCCTTCTCTCCAAAATTCTGCATTTCAAATGAATCTTTCGAAGAAAAAAAAGAGGGGGGCTATGAAGAGAGATACATGCTCTTTAAATTTGAGGCATTACCATTTCAAGATCAGATTTGGGACAACAGGACAAGATATTTTAGTATTAGTAAACAGAAGAAAACAACAATTGTAATAAAATCACTCTATAGTCAACATAAGCACAAAAAGCAGAACCTAGAGCAAAAGTTTGAATAGAAATCCAAGACTGTCCTGGATATGTATGTAAAAAAAAAAAAAATCCATAAAGATCTATCTATTGGCATGAAAATGATTTACAAATTGGGAATGAGACACTTCTGCATTAAATATACCTTAATACCATATTTGTGGCTACCATAATAACAACAACAGTAATAATAAAGAACTAATGATACTCAGGGCAATGTCCTAAGGTATGAAGAGTAAGCACTCTCTTAACTGAGTCAACCATTCCTCAAATTATAGAATTACTTAAATTTGAAAACTGAAGAAAAGACTCAGATTTTTTGTTAAGATGAAAATGCAGGACCTGGCATGATAGTCTAGTGTCTATATCCTTGCCACCACCAGGATCCCATGTGAGTGCTGGTTTGTGTTCAGACCATTCAAGTTCCCATTAGCTCCCAGCTTGTGGCTTGGGAAAGCAGTTGAGGACGGCCCAAAGTTTTGGGACCCCACAAACGCGTGAGAGACCCAGAGGAAGCTCCTGGCTCCTGGCTGTGGATCAGTTCACCTCTTTTCACCTGTGGCCACTTGGGGAGTGTACCAGTCGATGCTAGCTTTCTGTCTTTCCTCTCTGTAAATCTGTCTTCCCAATAAAAACAAATCTTAACAACAAAGGACGAAAATTTAAGAATGTCAAGAACAAATAGAGAAGAATCAAGATGGTTGGATAGGGTAAGCACACATTTAAACAGATGGAGACACATTTAATCGGAATGAAGCAGAGAGGACACATCCCAGAAAATAGGAGAGGACAGAACAACAGCAGAGGGGTACCTGGAGACTGACAGACACAGCAAAGCAACAGACACAACGGTGTGCTCTTGCAGTGACTGATACTCCAGCAACATTCAGCAAACAGCAATCTGAACTCCACCAGCAACCAGGTGGAAGGGACTTTCACTAGGAGCTTGGGAGGTAAACCCAAACAAAGAATTGTCCGTCCTGCTGGTCTGTTTGATTTGACCAGGAGCAGAGACACAGCAGTGGATCCCAGATGGGAAGTTTGAGAACAGGGTGGATTCCACAGCCCAACCAGTACCCTAGAGCCGAATTAGGCAAAATTTTGCTTAAGGAGGCAAAGGCAAGGGAAAGAACTGAGCATAAATTGAACTGGGAGTGAACTCATCTCTGACTCGGTGAACTGCATCAACGTGGCATTCTACAGGTTCCACCCAGGGCAGGTCTGGGTAGCCCTAAGACCTGACAGCCAGGAGATTAAGAACTGTAGTGGTGGTATGTCAGGTGCCAATTTGGACACTGTGGCAAAAGCTTTAGGACTGCAGGGGACATCAGTGAACTGCACATGTGCTGAGCTTGCGAGAACTCACTGAGTTCAGTGGATTGCACCGATCCAGCAGGAAAATATTACCAACTGTGGCATTGTACAGGTCAAAATATGTCCGTGTGGCACCCAGACCTAAAATCCAACAGGTTCCAGCAAGATCAGTGCCACCAACAACCTAGCTATATATATATATAGGACATCTGGTATCTCCCAAATCCTGGGACCTGCTCCAACCAGAATTGGGAAAAAGTTTGTACAGACAACAGTACAACCTCAGCATGGTATCACAGGAGGTGGAGAGTCGTAAGCAACAAGTTGGGGCTACGGAGTTATTTGTGGAAATATAACATAAGAACACAGACCTGGAACTCGCTGGAGGAGTGGCACAATTGGCTGTAAGCAAAGAGTTGTGTACCAACTGCAATAAGTAAAACCAAACTGTAGAACTGTGGGTGACACAGCTTAGAAACCTGCCCCAAGGAGAAGAATCTGCTAACCAGAACTACAATGACCAAGAGCGAAAGAAGAGACAAAGGCACAATCAATATTACTGAAAACTCCCCTGCAATGGAGCAAAAGCCTTTGCCAACCTCATAGTTGACTGAGGAAGACACTGAGAAAATGGACACAGAATCCATAAGACTCATTTTAAAGCTTGTGATCAACAATGAGAAGCACATACAAGAGTTCAAACAATTTAAGGAATATTTTACACAAGCAATAGCAGCAATAAAGCAAATCAAGGCTGATATTTCAGAAATTAAGAACACAGTAGAGCAAATTAAAAGTACAGTGGAGATTCTGAAAATAGAATGAAACAAGCAGAAGAAAGAATCTCAGAATTGGAAGATACCTCCTGTCACCAGGGGGAAGCAAACAACAAGCTAGAAGCAGAGCTGGATCAGGCCAAATAAAGTATTCAATTGAAAGACACTATTAAGAGATGTAATGTAAGAGTTATGGGAATCCCAGAAAGTGCAGAAAGAGAAACTAGTTTTACAAATATATTCAATGAAATAATAAAGGAAAATTTCCCTAATTTAGAGAAAGAATTGGGAAACAAGATCCAGGAGGGTCACAGAACTCCCAACAGGCTTGATCAAAAGCGATCTTCACCAAGACACATAATCATCAAGCTCTCTTCAATTGAACATAAGAAAAAAATCCTTAAATGTGCACGTGAAAAAAAATCAATTGACATATAAAGGAATGCCAATTAAACTCACAGGAAATATCTCTCAGGAAACTCTACAGGCAAGAAGAAAATGGAGTGACATATTTCAGATTTTAAAAGAAAAAAATTATTGGCCCAGGATAACATATCCAGGAAAGCTTTCTTGTATCTTTGAAAACGAAATA